TTTTGATGGACGCACTGCAATATGGGGTTAAGAACGCGAGCGCTGTTGTGGCGACCTGTGTGGACTCTGCACCTTCCTACTTCTTTGGCCCTAAATAGGTTGGTTAGACTTTTGGGTCCTCCTTATTTGTAATATGTGGTGTATATCAGTGTCCATCTCATAGGATTCTGCTTGTGAATAGCGTAGATCACACTGTATGCACCCAATGAACATTCATTTTTATTATATTATCTGTTAGGTTTCTTAAGCATAATAATCTATTCAGTGATGGAATTCTGGCACAATTATAGAAGCGGAGTATAGAATCTTTAACTCGCATCCTCCAGCTCTTACCATGAATGCTCTGATCCAAGTTCCACATAAAAGTATCAGCACATACTCTACAAAGTATGGTAGACTAAATTTGGCTGCATTTAAAAATGTTGTAATAGCTTCATGAGTATTTTCTCTTCTAAGTAACTTAAATTGAAATGATTTTCAGTGATTGAGATTTTCCTTGAGGGTTCATGTTGTATAGTTTAGTAAATGTTGGGCAAAGAATACCAAAAACATCAAGAAATAAAAAGTTAGAAAATGCTACAAAGCAAAAGCTATCATTTATAGTTTGCCTATTATGTGCCAGTCATTGTGCTCTGCATTTTTATGGATTAATTTAGTTTACAAATGATTCTGTGCTTATTTAGTAACTCATTTGGTGGCATAACATTATAGAAGAGGAAATCCAATCACACGCTGTATTTCTACAGCTCCTTGTGGAAACTAGTCATACTCTGTATTGATCACTTCTTTAAATGTAGTAGGAGATTTTGCCATCTCAAAAGAATTATAAGCTCTTCGAAGGCAGGTGAGATGCCTGTGATGTGGTTTCTCCACCTGCCAGAGCAACTCATCTGAGCTCTCTGTAAATAGTATTAATAAGTCCTTAAATGAAGACACTCTTTCAAATGTTCTAGCAGTCACTAAAGCATATTTGTAAAGATGGTAGACTAAGGATTAAAGATCAAAAGCAAAAGGAGATGAGTGATTTAATAAACTTGCATATTTATTTTCCTGGAGTGCTTATCTTTTTAAGCTTTCAGCTTCTTCTGACACAGCATAGATGTTGACAGAAGCTCTGTTTTTCATCTACAGATAAGTCAACCTGTAAACAAAGCCTGAGAATAACAATAATTGCTTGGAAATGTTTTTTAAAATGGTACAAGTCAAGAAATCGGTCCGCATAAATTGCATCTTTATTAAGTCTGTATATGATATATATTTTAAGATTTCTTCCTTTTTCTTTGCTTTTTTGTTTTATTTTGTTTTTTCCATTATAATGGTAGCCACTTTGTGGTTAGCCCAGGTTGTCATTTGTGTTTGCAAATTTCATTTATTTAAAATATTTTTACTGTTCCCCCTTTTCTTATGAAGCCAAGATCCATATCTTTCTTTTGCTATTTTTGTCTTTGGTACTGTGTTTCTCAATGTGGGTTACTCAGAACACTAATCTCATTAGATATCCCTCAAGAATGGATCCTATAATCAAATATGTTTGGAAGATGCACTTAAGGGGTTCAATGTATATTACAATAATGCAATTTGTGAAAAGTTATCAAGTAAAAGAACATTACATTTTGCCTAATCAGCACTCCCCGACATTTTTTGATCTTGGAGAATATCCCTTTCTCCCATATCTAGATATGATCCCTAAAATATTTAGCCAGTACTTTGGCTTGCCAGCCAGGCTGCTGTTCAACCTGTATCCTCTGCCCTTTCAGAGCCCATGTCCCTAGGAGACTGCAGCTCCTACAACTGACCCTGAGAATATAACTGGAAGCATCTCTTGGTTGTAAATTGGGGTTTGTAGATGGGCATCAGGGTGCCTTCCAGGGTGCATTGCCTCCCAAGGTCACTGTCTCCTCCACTGGGGTGCAGGCTGATCGGCATAGCCATTGACCAATCAGTACAGGAGCTGGTCGTGATGCTGGAGCAATTTCTTGAGGACCTCTGCTGTGCCAGCCCTCAATCTTTTGGTGGTGGTGGCTGGACTGTGAGGAAAAACAGAAAAGTAGGAGGTCCCCACCTGAGATGCCACGGTGATGAGGCCAGCAGGAGCAATTGCTCAGAGAACTCAGAGAACTTGGTGCAGTAATGATTTACTGACAAGTTTGCAAGTATTTTTTTTTTTGCTCTTGTACCACCATACCAATGTATGCCAGCTGTTGGTTAGTTTTACTCACAACACCTATCAACACTCTGTCTAATTCTAGTTTTGTGGGACACCCCTGGACAACTGCTAATCTATACCACTTGGGTGTGTGAAAATTCGTCGTTTTTCATCTTTCTATCGATTGCTTATTACAAAGCCATAATGTTCAAACATGCAACTCTGTTGGAATAGAGAATTAACAAATTATGGATCCGTTTTTGAGCTTTGTCAAATTAAAAAGCAAGAGATGGCATAAAAAAACAACAACAACAATGACAGACACCTTGAGGGATCTAGATTTGTAGACAAGTGATGTTATAATAAGAGAAAAATGCCAATAACATAGTGTAAGCTCTCTGAAAAGAAAAAGTTGCTGATGTAAATCTGAGTTAGTCACTCTATTGTCATCTTGTCACATTGAGATTAAAGTTAAATACACACCCACTCGCCCACCCGTACAGACACACCTACACATACACGCAAATGAGAATGATTCTGTATAGAGTCCTTATAGAATAAACCTCATTTGCCTTTGTATGGTATGTTTTTTTTTTAAATGTAAAAATATTCATTGAATAGCTGAAGAATCAGGTTAGAAATGATAACAGACTCCTCATGTCCTCTGTAGACCAGTCTACTTCTTTAGCCTCTTTTCCTATTATTCCACTAGGAAAATTGAACCATTCGCTTATCTCCAATGTAGTCCTACCAATTTCTACCTAATCACTCAGCTGAACTTATTATTAATAATATAACAGTGTTTATACATTTCATCCTCCTCCCATCCCCCCCCAGGGTAGATTTGGCATCTATTTGTTCATTCTCAAACTTATTAGTATTGTTCAGAGTAATGAATAGAAAAATAAACCAAAACTATTCAATAAAAGGAGCTAGAAGAAGGTTAGCGAGATTTTGGAGTCAAGCAAGACCTAGTGCAAAGAGAAGGTTGGTTGACCCAGGAAGGCTGGGAAAAAGTCAAACACCAATAGTGAACTGAGTAAGGAAAGAAACCTCAGACATTAGTGAGTAGCAATAAATTGCAGATTAGCTGTGAATTTAGAGAGAAAAAGATAGGTATGGAAGGAGCATCTCAAGAATTTTTGTTGTGGTTCATGACAAAATCTCCTGTGAAAGGGTTGAGGAATGCTCCTCAAATATTCCTGGCCATGAAGCCAGTGTTTTTTGATTGTGAAAGACTGGTCCGGTAGAAAGTTAGGTTATATAATTTTATTATCCAAGGGTACTTTCTGGTCTATGATTCTCTTTCTACTTACCTTTTCTAAACTTACCCATTTTCAAGGTTTATATAGTTCTTTCAAGAAGTTTTACATACTTCCCCATTACTCAGTGAATTGGAATGGCATCTAAATTTTCCGAAGTATTGACTCTTTTGTATTTACCATCTACGTATACCTTTTAAGAAGAAATGTTTTCAATTTCCAGCCAGAATAAATCTTTAATTCCTAATTCCAGGATCACTTTTATCAAACTTTCTTGTTTCGCTGCCTGGTCCAGAGTAATGAATGAGGTTGTTAGCACAAACTACTTCTATTTAGTCATCACTAAATTTGTAACTTCTCTTAGGAACAGAAATGAATTAAAATTATTGCATTTTTGTGTTTTTCTAATTAAACAAACTTTTTATCCTAAGTGTTTTTAATCCATATCTCTATCATTGCACTTAACACATTATAACTATTTGTTTATATTTCTTTCTCTCAAATAAATCTGTTAGGTACTTGACCATAAGGGCTGTACATTGTATCCTGGCACTTAGTACGGTGTCTGATACATTTTAGGAGCTCTGAAAATGTGAAAGAATGAATGAATTTTATTAAGAATCTCTCATGTGAGAAAAAAAAGCAACTGAAAGGAAAGTTTATATCTATCTTCTTTAATTTATAAAAAGAAAGAAAGAAAAGAAAAGCTGAGGTATAATGAAAGCAACATAAGGCTTAGAGGCAGAATATCTGGATTCAAATTCTAGCTGGCCCATTTATTAGCTGTTTTCTTTGAGCAGGTCACTGAAGTTCTCTCAACTACTTTCTTTAAATGCAGATAATTATCCCCACGACACATAGTTGTGATGATCTAATGAGATTAAAATTTTTTGAAGTACAGAGTGGGCCTTCATAGAGAAGTTGATTAAAACCTATTATTCAATCTGAATTAATAAGTCATTTACCAATGGCTAGATAAAGATGAGAGAATCCACCAGACATACAGATTCAGTGCCAAGAATCGATGTCCTCCCAATTCTGGGTTGCTTAACACTGGAAAAGGCCATTGAGTAAGATTGTGAAATTTCACTTATTATTGAGACATTTTCTTGCTCTTAAATAATAGAACAGACTGGATGACCTTTGAAGGGAACGGCCCACCATATATTCTCTGACTCATGAAAGAAAACACAATTTGTAGATAAATCAGGAGAACCTGCTTTTCCTCTGTGCCAAAGATAAAGCAAAAGTTTGGAAATGTCATATCTAACTAAAAGCTCTTTAATTCTTTGGTCAATTCAAGGGCCACCCTCATCTCTTAATCTTTTTAAATGAACCACATCTTTTATGCACTGTGCGTACATTAAGCAGCAGTAGAGAAATGGAGTTTTAATTTTTACCAATTCAATTTAAATGCAAATGTTAACCACTCACATGATGCTACTGTGTACATAATTAAGCATCATTATATACTACATGAATCATTTAGAAACCTCCCGAGAGCCATTCTGCTATGTAAAACATGCATTATACTGACAGGCAGCCAAATGACGTATACTTCTGTCCTCATTAATGCTCCTTTTGAATTATAGGTCAACCGATTATGGAACAACCTATGAGAAGCTGAATGATAAAGTTGGCTTGAAAACAATTTTAAGCTATCTCTATGTGTGTCCTACCAACAAGCGTAAGGTAAGAAATGTATATTCAGCATGCTACTTATTCATGACGTGACTTTCTGTCTTGGTTGGGTAACCTCTTTAGCTACCTAAAAATCCATTACAGTGAAGCTGGGATTAGAAATGTAAAGATGAGTTGATGGATGTTAAGGTTGTAAAATGTCTGACACATCATAATTTTCAGATCAGCAGCTGTGAATATGGGAGGGCGAAGGGTAGTTGGATCTACCGTTTCTGAAAGGCAGCTGCAGGGATGAGTCTTGTTGCGTGGATGCTGCCGACTCTCTAGTAAGAGCTCGGACCCGTCAGTCACAAGAATCAGAATGAGCCTTGACAAGACAGCAGAAAAGATGGGTTTTCATCTGATGTCCCAGTTTTTCCTTGTCATGGAATAAATAGGTTAACTAAAATTTAAGTGAATGTATCATCCTACAGCAGGTAGGAAGTTTTATTTTTAAAGTTTGCTCAACCTGTACAGAAATGCCAGGATAGAGACAGTGCATTTGGCAGAAGAGAGTAGCTTGGAAAGAGTGGTGAGGTTAGTCCCATCTGAGCATAGACTTTAGCTGCAATGAGCCTTAGAGATCCTCATATCCAACATCCTTATTTTACAGATGAGAAAACTGAGGTTCAGAGAAAGGAAATGGTTTGTCCCCATTGCAATTATGGGCACAACTGGGGCTAGAATTCAGGTTCATTTGTTAGCAATCACACTTCTTCCACTACATCATATATCTTCCACTACATTCAGATGGCTTTTATCTACTCTTTAGAGATGTTATCTTTTTTTTTGTTTGTTTTGGAAAAAAATGTTTGCTTTTAAGTGAGAAAGACATCTTTATGTCAAAAGGAGAGCGGTGCTACGTCTGTACCTTTGTTCTGACAAACTTGCATTACCAAATTCTGAATTCTGACATTTAATTTATAAATATTGCATGGGTCACATGAACTAATAATACCCACCGGGAAATAGAAAAGTGTTGTTCATCAATGTGTCCTATGCCATATTCTGTCATTATGGTAGCACAGATAGCTATTTTCTCATCTCAGATTTTTCATTAGCTACTATTAGTGAACTTAGGTTGGTTCTACATTTTGTCACCTAGACAACAGAAGGTGATGAGAATATGTCTCAAGCAATCAGTCTCAACACTGGCTGCACATCAGAGGAACTATTAATAGGTGGTCCCCAAATGTGCAAGCTCTAGCCCCACCCCTGTTGCTCTGGATTAAGGCTCATGTAACTATAATATCTTGAGAAAGCACCCCAGATGTTTCTGATATGTGTCTAGGATTAAGAATAACTAGTATAAAGTATAATGTGCTCTCTGACTGTAAGCATTTCAAGTTCTTCAGGAGAAGCAGTATAATTTTTCAGTTAAGCGTAGACTCTAGAGTCAGATGGATTGAGTAAAAACCCAGCTAAACCGATTACCAAGTATATCAGTATGGTGCGTTATTTAATCTCTTCAAGCACAGTAACATTATCTTTAAAATAGGGATAATTATAGTACCTACCTCCTGAGGGGAGTTGTAAGGATTATGTGAAATTAAGCAATTCAAGTGTTGAGTACAGAATAGTAAAGGTTTAATCAATGTGTTCTCCTTACTTCATTCTCCTTTCTTATCTTCCTGCTCCTCCTGCTTTATATGATTATTAGAAGTAGTAGTAATGATTATCCTCTATAAATAGCACTATCTAAAATAACTTTTTATGATGATAAAGAAATGTTCTTCTAAGCTGTCCCATGCTTTAGACACTAACAACTTGTGGCTGTTGAGTATTGGAAACATAGCTAGTGTTAATTGAGTAGCTAGATTTTAAATTTCATTTAATTTTAATTAATTTAAATTTATATAGCCAAATATGGCTGATAGTGACAGCATCATACAGCATAGCTAAATAATATCAAACTCACACATTTAGAACTATAACCTGGACATTCCTATTTCCCCCTTCCTGGCTGGTTACTTTGTCAATAATTACATTTAAACAATTTTGATCTTCTGTATGCAGTCCCAAATGAAGAAACTGAACTTGTATACTTTATTTTTATAACTAGATTTAGTTGTTTGTTGGCTTTGAATTGATTTTTGTAATACCTATTGATTTTTCCTCTAGTTCACATTTTTAGTAAATTTAATTTAACAATCAACAAACTGTATACTAGGAAATGTGCTATGCATCATAGGATATAAAGAGAGATAAGCCGGCATCACGCCCTCTAAGGTCCTATATTCTAGTAGTAAATGTAGCATGACTTTTTGTAATTGAAAGATCCCTGAACTACAATTCAGGAATCTAGGTCCCTACCTTGCTTCTATTTCCACCTAATTGGTGACTTTGAGTGAGTCATTTACATTTTCTTTATTTGTAAAGTGATATAGGTAAAAATGAAGGAATTTGCAGGTGGAAGAGACATTAGAATTGTTCTGATCTAATGATAGTTTGCTTTATTGACACTATTAGAGAGGCACATGATAAAAAAGATAAGATGCCAAACATTGCATATGGTTATAGGCTTTTCTGTGGTTGCAGAAGGTATGGTAAGGATGCAGAGCCTCCAAGACTATTTTTAGGAGCTGGACTTAGAGGGAGATTCTCAAGTTCAGATGTAGCCCCTAAGACTGGAAGCTTAGAGGTAACACAGCAACAAACCTTACAATCAAATCTACTCAGTTCAATACACCCATATTAATCAGGCTGCAAAGTTGGTCTGTAGTTACCTGAAGGATTTTAACAAGGGCATTTGGCCATGGGCATTTAGCTGACCTTAACACTTGGCACACCATAGTTCCAGAAAATGAGAAATCTGTGTCCATGACTATGATGGAATAGCTTTCTCCAGGCCTGTTACTTTCCAGAAGCAGAGGTGGTCCTGAGTTGTTTAAATTGCAATGTTTATGAGTGAACCTAAAGGAAAGGATCTTCTCCTCTACAGATAAATGAGGTCTTTAGGGTCACTTTCTGAGATGCTGGTAGATTTAAGAAATATTGGAGGACAATGAAGGTTTTTACAATGGTTCAAAATCAATAAAGTTGTCATAGCAGTATATTTGTGTACAGTTTTTCTACTTATGAGGTGAATTTATCACCATGAAATATGTATTCCTCCCCCTCAAAGGGACATATTTGAACCAAAGAGACAGTGATTGCACAACATTTGAAGTGTGAATATATTTTCCCCAGTCAATGAGAGTTTATATAAAAAAAAAAAAAGAAGAAGAAGAAAGAAATACCAGGCTCTATTAATTATGCAGAACAAAGGCATCCAAGTTCGCTCCAGTTCTCCTAGGACTGCTACTATCCTCCAGTGAAAAAAGGCAAGCTCCTTTAAAAGTTATATTAATTCCTTCAGGTCTCCAGGGTACTATCTAGCAAGTTAAAATCTTTTGTACCAGACACTTCCCTCTGCTTTTCACACCAGTGGGAGCAACTGGAATAAAACTGACAACATCAGGGTAACTGTCTTGAATTCCCAGAAACCTGTTTTGCCTTCACATTCTTATTGCTATTTTTAGCAGTTTGTGAGGACAAGAGCAGTTCTTCAATCATCATGCCTCAAACAGCGGGCATCATGCCCTGGCTTTGCAGGCAGCTTGTTAGGGGCATTATGGGGATCAGAGTCCAGAATAAAGCAGGCTCTTATTTACAGTTTAAATTGATGATCATCCACGGGCTGTTTCTCTGCAAGCCTGCTGTAAATTACAGCAGCTTTCCTTGGGCAGGTCTGTTACAGTAAAAGCTGTAATCTCATCCTACGTCAGTCTAAGAAATCTGGACTAACTAAAAGACATAGCCTACTCTTAGGTATCATCCTAGCTCATTCATAGTCTCTTTCAGAAGGAACCCTGCACCTGGCCTCTGATATAAGAGGCTGGCCCAACAGAACAAGGCTGAGTGGGTCCTAGTGCCAGAGGAGAGGCAGGCTAGCTATCTGTCACCACGTCTCAGAGGGAGAACACTTCTCCCACCTCCAGTTCTTGATAAATCCCAGGGCTTGTTTGTGTCAGCAAAGGTTTATTGGCCCCACACATTTAGTCTGCTATAAGAAAAGATGATTTAACCTGTACCTGAAAGGTACAGCTTGGATGCAGAGGGTGATGGGAAGAACTAATAAAAATGTAACAAAGAAAAAAAAAATGTTGAAATCTCACTCAGTCTCACTCTTAAATTCTCTCTGAGTTTATTTGTATTCTGCCTTAAAAGAAAAAAAAAAAAACAAAAACAAAATACTTCCATATACTCTATGTATATCTATCAGTGACACCTTCCCATCACCCCCAACTAACCCTGGCTGTTCTTCCTCCATGAAAGGTTATATAACATCTTCAGGGATTAAGTAATACAAAACACCCAGTGGAATGCATTGGGGAAGAAAAGGAAAAAAAAAGCTTATATTTTTAAAATTTGGAACAGCACGTTCTTTTAGTTGTTATTGTCTCATGTTCTCTGCACACTATGTTTTCAAGGAAGAAAAAACCTAGACAGTATTTGTTCTTTATGTTTCCTGCACCCCCTTTGCACCTCAGTTCCTTCTCATTTGTGTTATCACCACTTAATTTATATCATTCGTGCTGAGAGAATCTTCCAAGACTTTCATGCCATAAATAGGACACTAGCTCCTCAGAACACATTGATCATTCCTATGGGACTCTTGATACATGCCAGTATTAAACACTGTTTGCATTTTCTCCAGATGTTTAGGTTTTAATTACGATACTGTATGAGACACTTTCTAAATACATATTTGATTGTTGACTTCTTGTCTCTTTATATCCGGGCGTGCTTAATTCCTCTTATCATTTGCTTAGGTGATCTGTATAAAATATAGTTGACTTTTGGGGACAGCGAAGAGGTGAGGTTGATAGGGTCCCTCAACTTTCCCTTAGGAAGAATCATGTAGTCATTGAATCCAAACCTAAAAGATGTCCAGGATACTCAGATTCTACTCTTTTGTTTGACAGATAGGGAAACTGAGTCCCTGAGAATTTAGTGACTTGCCTGAGGTT